TCGCTGTCGGGAGTTGAGTAATAAGAACCTTCCGTGCTCTGAAAGCGAGTCTGCAGCAGGATCAGGCGGCTCCAGGAAGGAAAAAGCTGGCCAGCCCCCACCCCTACCCCCCACCCAAGGCGCTCAGCCTCTTCATTAAAACTGCACCAAGGAAATTGAGGTGGCACCCTCACCAAGCATGCATGGCAAAGACGAGAAGATCCAGTGGCCCCCAAGGCCAGGGCGGGAGACCAGGGTCAGTCTGCAAGGGGGAGATCTTTGGAAAGTCAATGTAGCAAGTAGGATAGAACCGGAAACGCCTATAAGTCATCGGATCCAGCAACTGCCCTTCCAGGCATGCGCCTTACAGCTACCCCTGCACACAGCACAAGGACCAAGACCAGGAAGAGCCCTGCCCCAGTTCCTGACAGCAATAGAACAGACATTTACATACAAGCCCTGGGGAATGGTTTGGTCAGTTAGGGTACCCCCAGGAGACCAAAGTCATTGCTGTCCAGTTTACTGGACCCTCATCGATCCCTACAGAACACAGAACCACTGGCCTGTTGGGTGTCCAGGGCTGGTGTTTCTGGAAGCAGACGGCTCATCGTGCCCCCACGGCAGCCCTCACAACTGTTCCTGTTTGGACCCCTGGTCGTCACTGCCATCCAGCGGATTCCGACTCATGGCAACCCCACAGGACAGGGTAGAGCGTACCTCTTCATGGGAGCAGGAAGCCTCCTCTTTCTCCCACGGAGCAGCTGGTGGTTCTGAACTGCTTACCTTGGGTCAGCAGCGCAGCACATAGCCCATTACGCCACCAGGGCCCTTGTTATAGCTCTACCTACCACCCATGGAAAGGAAATACACTATGAGCAAGAATGGAGGCAGGTGTTTACATCCTGGTGTGGAAAGAGATCCCAAAGCTGAAATTGTGGCGTGCATGCATAAGAAAGAAAGGGGGCGGCTGTTCTTGTGGGCTTGAACAAGCGTGTGAAAGAACACGCCAGAAACCTCCAGCTCTGGTTTTAAAAAAAAACAAAAAACAGTCGACAGCAAGGACCGTGGGATCAGAGAGGGAGACATTCACTTTGATTCTGTCCATTTAGGCTCTCTATCAGCAATATTTTTTAAAAGATAAAAGTGAAATGAACCCAGTTACGAAAGGGCACGTGCTTCTTACCACCTTGCCAGAAGCCCTGGTGGTGTAGTGGTTACCAGTGGGGCTGCCAACTGCAAGGTCAGCAGTTCAGAACGACCAGCCACTGGCCGGGAGAAAGACGGGGCAGCTTTCTACTCAAGAGTCTCAGAAACACCTTGGTATCAATCCCCACACTTAGGGTCCACAGCGTCCAAATGAACGAGAGACTGAGCCGTGTAGGACGCAAGGTGGAATGGTACTCACATAGACGCCTTATACAGACTGTGTCTGGAGTGCCGGGGCATTGGGAACATTGATGTAAATAAATAATAGTGCAATCGACATACCCCAGGGGGGTGATTGACAATGCTGTACTTCTTTGCTTATATGGGCTTTTGTTTGCTCTCCTGCTTGGAGCTTGGTTGGGTTTTTTTTCTTTACTTATTTCTTATTTTCTTTGTGTGTGTATATTCTGTTTGTTTGGTTGTTGGTTGGCTTACGGCTGCTATTGATGCAGTTGGTCCTATAGGATTTTGATTTTGTCATACTATGACCACCAAAGTAAACCTGAGACGTGCAAACCCCATAGACAAGCAGATGGAGTCTGGGCTCCTATTTAATTCTAACCCTAATTCAAGAACAGTTAGTTGTGATAACATGGCCCTGCTCAATACTCACCTCCATGATCACGGAAGAGAAGGATGAGACAGCAAAGTGTGGTGAAGAAAGTAGATGGTGCCTGGCTATCCAGCGGAATAGTGGCTGGGGTCTTAAAAGCTTGTATTCAAACAAGCATCAATCCAAGTGCAGGAGCCCACTAAATCCACCAGCTTATGCGATCCAAAGATGACAGTTACAAAATTCTGATATGGTGAAGGGAAAAGTATCAGAGCTAAAATTATGAACACCCAATTTGTAGAAGGTTATGGGGACAGTGGGGGTTCAAAACACCATCTGCAGAGCATCTAGTGGATTCAGCCACAGGCAAGAGACACCAACAGCATTACGATCAGCCAGAGCCCATTGTAATCTTAATGATGACGCATGCTGGGCCCACTGCCCTCCCTACAGACCCCGCCTGAATTGGTTCTGGGTGCAAGTATCTTCCTTGTTCCATGACAGAAATTTCTTCCCTGGCTTTTGTAAGATTGATGGAGGTCTTTTCTTTCTTAGTCAATATTTGTATTTTTGTCTTTATATTCTTTTATCCTTACCACCACCTTATTTCACATATTTTTTATTGTTTCTGTTGAGTTTCCCAGTTTGGGATACACGGAGGACTGGATGTATAACGATAATAACTGATACACGGGTTGGCAGGGGATGCAGCGGTGGGAGATAGCTGATAGGAAGGGAAGGGGTATTTCAGGAATAAAAAAACAAAGGAGTGGGGAGGGAGCACTAGAATTAAATGTGATTGTACAGCTCATTTTAAAGGTATTTAACCTTGGGGAGGGGATGTTCTAAAATTAATGTGGCAATGATTGTACATTTCTCCTTGATATGATCAAATGATTGTACTATTGAATGGTATGATATGTAAATTATGTGCCAATAAAACTGTTTTTAAAAAAGTCTCAGAAACTCACAGGGGCAGTTCTACCCTATCCTACAGGGGCACTATGAGTCAACACTGGTTCAATGGTAGTGAGCTGGTTTTTTTGTCCACCTCTGTAGAAGTTTTGGGAGAAAGATGGGCTTTCTACTACTGTAAACAAGGTCTCAGAAACTCACAAAGGTAGTTCTACCCCGTCATACAGAATCACTGTCAGCATTGCCTCGATAGCAGTGAGTTTGTTTTTTGTACAAGTTTTAGGATTCGAAACTGTGGATGTCAGATACACAGTCGTTTTCAAACAAGAAAATTCAATTATTCTGTTAAGAAAAAAGGCACACAGACACACACACCCTCCACCAAGAAGAATGCACTTCAGAGGATGGCACTGAAGCTACAGCTCAGGGAGAGGGCCACATCTGATCAGAGCACACAGGAGCAAACGAAGAAGGAGAGAGAGAACGGAGCACATCCTGACCCACCAAGCCCTGAAGATACTATTCCTGCTCAGAGCAGTCAATGTACAGAGAGGACCATAGGGCTGGCCCCACCATGAGACACGATGTCCCTCATTGACCCCTATTGCTAAGAGGGACAACACTGGAGGCACAGTGTGGGAACTGTGCCCCATCTGACCCCACCATACCAGGGCATGCAACAGAGCAGCAAGGGGAGCAAAACAATGAAATCCCCGGGGAATACCAAAAATAGACATTGGGGCCAGGGTGTGACACCCCATCAGACTAGACTGGGAAAAAATTCTAAAGGTCAACAAACAGACCTGGAACTATTCACTGGCTTTTCCTTTGTTGTTGTTGCTGTAGGTTTTTATGTTGTTTTGTTTTGTCTTGTTTTTTTGTGCTTATGATCGTCTCTGTATGTCTATCTAGAGAAGATAGGCAGGATAAACAAACAATCCAGAGGAGAAAACAACAGGACCAACAGTTCCAGGGAAAGGGTCAAGGGGTGGGGGGTTGGCACCAGAAGGGTGGAGGTGGGGGAAAGGAAGTGGGTGTTGACAAACCCAGGAACAAGGGAAGAACAAGTGATTTAAAATCAATGGCGAGGAGGGTGTAGGATGCCTGGTGGGGCTTGACCAAGGGCAATATAGCTGAGAGGAATTATTGAAACCCAAATGAAGGCCAAACTTGATAGTGAGACAAGAGGAAAGTAAAAGAAAATAGAGGAAAGAACGAGGAGACAAAGGACATTTATTGAGGTCTAACTACAGGCACATACATATGTAAATATATTTATATATAATGATAGGGAAATATTCCTATGTACATATATTTATAAGTTAAGTATTAAGGTAGCAGATGGACATCGGGCTCTACTCAAGTCCACCCTCAACTCAAGAACACTTTGTTCTAATAACCTTGTATTCTGTGATGCTTGCCTTCCCAGCATTCTGTGATGCTCTCCTTCCCGACAAGATCACTGAAGACAAAGCGGGTGCATAAGCAAACGTGATGAAGAAAGCTGACAGTGGCCGGCTGTCAAAAGAGATAGCATCTGGGGTCTTAAAGGCTTGAAGATAAACAAGCAGCCATCTAGCTGAGAAGCAACAAAGCCCACATGGAAGAAGCACACCAGCCTGTGTGATCATGAGTTATCGATAGGATCAGGTAACCAATACCCAGAACAAACAATCGTATGGATGCAAACGAGGGGGAGGGCAGAGTGGACGTCCAAAGCCCATCTGTAGACAATTGGACATCTCCTTACAGAAGGGTCACAGCAAAGAGACAAGCCAGTCAGGGTGCAGTACAGCACTGAAGAAACATACAACTTTCCTCTAGTTCTTTAGTGCTTCCCCCCGCCCCCCACTATCATGACCTCAGTTCTACCTTACAAATGTGATTAGACCAAAGTATGTACACTGGTACAGACAAGCACTCGCTACACAGGGTATCCAGGACAGATAAACCCCTCAGCACCAATAATGAGAGTAGGATACCAGGAGGGTAAGGGAAAGGTGGGGGTGGGGGGTTGGGGACTGATTGCAATGATCTACATATGGCCCCCTCCCAGTGGGACGGACAACAGAAAAGTAGGTGAAGGGAGACATCAGTCGGTGTAAGACATGGAAAAAATAATTTATAAATTATCAAAGGTTCGAGAGCTCGCCCCATGGTCCCGTGGATCTGTGTCTTGCTTCAACAGTGTTTGAACGGAACAGATCCGGGGACTCCCTGCCTCCAACCTCCGTCACGCTCCAGTTAGTTTCCTCTCTGGAAGTAGCTTTGGGAGCATCTTCTTGGCCAGGCCCTCTTCTTGGGACCAGCGAACACTTTTATTTGGTGTGTGGCGACCTCCAAACCGATGCATCGTGAGCGCTCAGATCGTCAGAATGATTCCGCCGACGCCCACCGTCTGGTCAGCCTGCACCTGTGGGTCTCTGACACCTGCCTCTCTCTGGGCTGCTTTTTCGACCGCACGACGTGGCCTTGGAAGGCCGCGCCCTCTTCCAGGATGTGCAGAAGCTGTCCCAAGATGAGTGGGGTAGAACCCTGGACGCCATGGAAGCTGCCCTAGCCCTGGAGAAAACACTCAACCAGGCCCTTCTGGACCTGCACGCCGTGGGGTCCACTCACGCTGACCCCCATCTCTGTGACTTTCTGGAGAACCACTTCCTGGACAAAGAGGTGAAACTCCTCAAGAAGATGGGCGACCACCTGACCGACATCCGCAGGCTGGCCAGCCCCCAGGCCGGGCTGGGCGAGTATCTCTTCGAGAGGCTCACCCTCAAACACGACTAGGAACCTGCAGCGCCGAGCCTCCTGAGAGGGGCCCTCTGCCGGCCTTAGCCCCTCTGCCTGAAACTGCCCCCACGCCAGCCACAGCGCCACCGCCCTGGAGCCCATCCCCCAAGCCGGGACCAAATGAAAACAATAAAGCGTCCTTTTACAGCAAAAAAAAAAAATTATCAAGGGTTCATGAGGGAGGGAGAGTAGGGGAGGGGGAAAACGAGGAGCTGATATCAAGGGCTCAAGTAGAAAGAAAATGTTGAAAATGATGATGGCAACAAATGTACAAATGTGCTTGACATAATGGATGAGTGTATGAATTGTGATAACTGTAAGAGCCCCAATAAAATGATTTTTAAAAAGGAAGGTACATTCAATTGAAATGTTTAATATTTACTTACTATTACTAAATATCTATAAACTGATTGGTAAGTTTCGCATCCATCTCTTCCAGTAGGTATGGAATGACCCCAGGACCTAATGAGGACAAAGGAGTCACAAACAAAAGAAGGACTTCAGGCTCAGAACCCCATCCGCAGATGCCCCAGGAAGGATGCCCGCTGTCACGGTGCTTACACGGCTCGGCTGCGGTTCAAACCCCCCAGCCACTCTGCAGAAACAAGATGAGACAGTCGGCTTCCCGAAAGATAGGTGACCTCGGAAATTCTCTGGTGCGGTTCTCTCCACGAGGGTCCCTATGATGTAGAATGGGCTCGATTTGCAGGGAAAGGAGACTGTGTTTAAGGAGACAAGTCTAATAGTGTGACATAAAGAGCTACAGGATGGGGTGCTAACCCAAAGGCCACGGTTCGACTCCACAAGCCCCTCCCTCCCTTTTGGCTTTCTGTGCTGAAAGGATTTACAGTTTCAGAAACCCTACACGGGGGTGGGTGGGGTGGGTGGGTGGCTCTCTCTGAGACAGAATCCAGGCGATGGCAATGAACTTGCGGCTTTTTTCCGGGGAGTGGGGGGCAATAGCTGTAATTAAGAAATCATAATGATGCCGTTCCACTCCACCAACAGACAAGACCTTCTACGCTTGTGAACCACGGGGGCCGTGCTACCCTGTCCTACAGGGTCGCTGCAAGTGGGAATGGACTGGGGCGCAGTGAGTTGGGTTTTCTGTTTGTCTGTCTGCACTCAGCTGCTATCACCAAGGGCAGCAGTTCAAATCCTCCCAGGGGCTCCGAGGGAAAGAGCTGAGGATCTGTAAAGGGGACAGCTGACAAAACCCAGTGGGGCAGCTCACACGGGGCTGCTATGAACTGGAACCAGTGCCACAGCACCCAATAGCAATCACTACAGCCATAGCAGTAACGGCAGCAATAACTATCACCACAGTTAGAGAGCGCGTTGATGACAGTAGGAGGGACATTTCTAAGACGCAGCATTCCTCTAGCCTCCACGGTTTCTTTTTCCGTGTTTTCCTACTGCGTGATTTTAAAATGAGATTAACTTGTTCTCAAGGGAATCTCCTTCCTTTATATTTATTTCCTAGGTTATTAGCGCCCAAAGAATTGGGTCCGAGGCTATTTTGTTTATTCAAGAGATAAAGCCGATGATACATTTCTTCTCTCCGCGCTCTGAGGATTGACAGCTAGAATGTTCCACTTCAGATAGGTCTGCAGCATGGAGAGTTACAGGGAGGGGCCAGGGAGGAGCAGGGAGCTCGATGGTACTTCCGTTAGTATCCTATAAACACGTGCATTAACAGCTTCCTAAAAAAATCCTATTTAAAGAAAACATTTCCTGTCCATTTTATTATTACTTTCTAAGATACCACGCTAGGGCTGGCCTTACAGCAGCAGTTTGAAACTCTAAAGGCATGCAGATGAATCGACCCCAGCTGAGCTCACACTCACACATGGGGGCCCTGGCCTTCAGGGAGGGGCAGCGTTCAAGTGGCGTCTCCACTGGTCTCACATACCTACCCCACGGCCGAGGAGTGGCTTCCGCTCCTAGCAATCCTAAAGGACAGCGTAGGACTGCCCCATAGGGTTTCCACGGCGTCATCTTTGCAGGAAGGCGCTTTGGTGGCACAGTCATTAAAGTGCTCAGCTGGTTCGACCCACCAGCCACTCCAGAGAAGAAACAGTTGGAATCCATCAAGATCCCAAACCCCAAACTAAACTCACCGCCATTGGGTCGATGATGACTCCCAAGCGAACAGACAGGGCAGGGCAGACTGCTCCTGTGAATTTCCCTGTAATTCTTCTTTTCTTTTCATTTTTGAGATGGTAATTCTTTACAGAAGGGGAAAGCCCTGTCTTTCTGTCCAGGAGTGGCTAGCGGTTTCAAACTGCTGGCCCTGTGGTTAGCAGCCCAAGTGGTAACCAGTATGCCGCCAACACAGCTCCATAAAGATTACAGCCCAGGAACCTCCACAGGGCAGCTCTATTGTCTTCAGGATCACGGTGAGTCAGAAGGGAATCAATGGCAAAGGCGTATTTTACCTTAATCTTTAAGAAAGCAGCAGCCACATCTTTCTCCCTGGATTCCGGCCTAACAGCTCGTAGCCGAGAGCTGGAACCACTGCACCGCCTGGGCTCCTTCTCCACATCGACTCTAGCCTAGTAGGCTGGAGCGGACTGCACTGCTAAGGTGTCCAGGGCCGCTGGGCAGCCCTTGATGACTAGTATTGATGGCACCCGGCAACATCAACAAACATACCCTTCTCTCCTAATCACCTTAAATTCTGGTCCTTTTAGGATAAAGCCAGAGCGCGTTGTCTCGTTAAGGTCACCTTCATTCTGCAATCCCACTGTGTAACCTTCGGACAAGTGGGAGGAAGCACAGAGGGGAGGGGCTAGGAGAGCACTGGACGGAGTCTGGGATTTGTTTGCACGCATGAAAAGCAGAATTTCCCCCAAACACCAAAGCCACTCTCATCAAGCCGATTCCCAGTACAACCCAGAACAGCGTCCTGTGGGCGGCCCTGCTGGCAGAGTGGCTACGAGTTGGGCTACCAACCACAGTCAGCATTTTGAAGCCACCAGCTGCTCCTCCGGAGAAAGATGAGGCTTGCTACTCCTGTAAAGAATGACAGTCTTGGAAGCCCACAGGGGCGGTTCCACCCCGATGGATAAGGTCGCTATGAGTTGGCAGTGAATTTGATTTTGGGGGTTTTCATTATAGCAGTGGTTCTCAACCTTGTTAATGCCACGGCCATTTGATACATTTCCGCATGTGGTGGTGACCCCCCCAACCATAAAATTATTTTAGTTGCTACTTCATAACTGTAATTTTGCCACTGTTATGAATTGGACAACCCTGTGAAAGGGTCATTTGACCCCCAAAGGGGTCTCGACCCACAGGTTGAGAACCACTGGTTTATAGGGTTTCCAAGAGTTTTAAATCTTTACTGAAGCAGAAAGCCTCACCTTCCTCTCACTTGCAGATAAGAGCCCAACACCTAACCCAACCCAACCCACAATGCTAGGGTGATACAAGGTCAAAACACACGTCTAGAATCAGTCTGTTCAACGATCCATATGTTCTGGCCACTCCCTGCTCTGGTAACCACACGGAACCAGTCTGAATGACTACGGGTTCTGTGACTGGCTAGTGACTGGCCCACTTTCAGGTCTGAAGTCATTAATGGCATCAGAAAATGCAGACCGGGTCAGTCAGAAGGATGAACCATGCAGGAGTTCTGGATAGCCATCTCACGAGCTCACCCCCTGAAAACGCTCTAAAGACAAATGTTAGAGACTGACTGAGGTTTGCTTTGAGGCTTTATTTATCACTCCTGTGGTTAGCTACAGGAGCCCTGGTGGCTAGTAGATTACTCATTGAACTTACTGCAAGATCGGCAGTTTGGAAACAACAGCCTCTGCTCAGGTGAAAGATGAGGCTTTCTACTCCCTTAAAGATTAACAGCCTTGACCTATAGGGTGGCCTGAAGTCAGAAGGACTTGATGACAGTGACCAAAATGGCCAAATCTCACAATGGAACCTGGCAAACAACCAATCCAATCCAGAAATTCCCTGCCACAAGTTCTCAGGAGGCGTGTAAACAAGATGGCCTGGAGGCTGCGTTCTTCCTTTTTTCTGAAATATACATAGATAATGCCAAGATTCCTTCAATGCATCTGAACCGTAAGAAACTCTCCATTTGTTTAACCTGTAAGAACAAGTCAAATAGTCATCTTATCATTCCTGAGAAGCAGGTGCTCTGTGAGTATCTGTTAACTGAAATGAACAGGAACAAGGAAAGCAAATAAAATTGCTAATAAGGCAGCATGTATATATTAACCTCACTTAGGCAGGGAAACTAAAAGTCTGCTAACAGCCTTAATTTAGATCCGCATTCTACCCAGGAAGAGAAACGATGCATTAGCCTAAACTTCCTCCGAATGTCTGGAGACCTAATCCATCCAGACAGCTCAAGAAGTAATTCCTCACAAATTCAATGTATGAAGTGATCTTACTTGAGCTACTTGAACTTGATGGAGTATTTTTCTATTTGAGAGTAAAAAAAAGCTATTCAACACTGTACGGAGCGGCTGCTACAGAAATAGAAACACAATTTAGAAGAAAAAAAAACAAACCCACGTGGTTAACAACCAACTTGACTTCAGCCACTATCTGCCACTTGAGACCCAGCAGAAAGAGACGGTCAAAGGAGAAATTGTAAAAGAAGGAGCCAGGTCAAGATCAGCCCCAATTCGCTGGTCTCCAATCAAAATGGAAGAGGCACCATATCCCTGCCTTCTTTCTACAAATAAGTATGGCAAGCCTACTGTGTGCAAGGTCACCTGTGAGGGACACCTGTTGTGACACAAATCAAGTGGTTCCACTCTTGCAGAGCACGGACTACAGCCTCTGAGGACCCTAAGCAGAAGATTCACGTCACGAAACCTGTAAAGGTGGACATGCAGGGAAGAAGGGTCCATGGTAATTTGGGACCAAGAAGTGGCAGATGGGACTATTCAGAGGTCAGCAGCTTGAGGATACAAGTGACATGCTGAGTCATTCATAATCAGAAGCGCCCATTTGAATAAACGTGAGTCATAAATTTTAGGGGTTGAAATGAACAACTGCACATTTTCCAAGGAGACATGGGAGCGTATTGATTTCTCTCCAAATTGATAACTGGGCAGTATGCCAACCAGTTCCGTGATATTCTGCGAGCCACTTAAATAATTGTCTA